AGAAGAACCCGACCAGAAGACCTATACAACTTTTTTCTTTTTGATTTTTTACCTGGATTACTGAGATGCATCATGGATCACTTGGGTTGTTACCGACATCTGGTGAAAATTTCATGTCATTAGCACCTCTAGTAATATATTTACTGAGAAAAATGGTGATGTGTTCAATACTTATTTTACCCGCTGTATGTTTTGGCCAACTCTAGACAGGAAGTAACACCTTTATTTATCCCATGGAGGTAAATAATCACTGTTATCTGGCAGCAGTGAATTTGATGCATCCAAGCTAATGTTAAACACAGTTAGTAGTGAATAATTTCAACCCTTATCCTGAGAAAGTAGGATAGTGTGCAAAATGTCAATTTTGTCAAACACTGATGTTGAAAATGAGGCTATGTTCAAAGTCACTGAGCTCATGTTGTCAATAACCCCCAGCTACCACCACACCAAATGTTAGTCAGTTTTACATTTATTGAGTTGGCACGAAAAGATTTGTGTTTTAGGTGAGTTAGCTGTGGCAGCCATCTTGAATCGTGTTAAATTAAAGGTCTATCAGTTTTAGATATTTATACAACCTGTCCTGTTAAGTTTATAATCGTGGACAAACCGTCAGCATTCTTGCCTTCATGTTTAACTCTTCAGCGTGTTTAAATTAAACGAAGCTAATGATAAAAAAAAAAAAAAGCAGCGCCGCTGCAAACAGTTGACAATCAAAGGCAATCCGTGTTTCTGCTTCAAACTGACTGTCCGAGGCTTCCGCCCGGTCACGAAGTTTCTCTTTTACCTTACTGAAAACCTCCAGGTCGTCGTCCTCGTCCAAGTCCAACATGTGTCCTGAAATGTCCGCAGGGACCGTGTGTCCACTCATACCTCACTTTCAACCTTTTCCACTTCGACTTAATTCATGGAGAGCACATCAGAAACAAACTTGGAGCAACAGAACTCCTGAGCGCCAGCAGCAGTAGTGTCAACTCCCTCTACTTCCGCTGAAAGACTTTCAAAATAAAAGCACCGTAAGCGACAACTGTCTTTTTTTTTCCTGGTAACTATTTCTTCAAATAGTCATACTGGCTCAGACAAAAAATATTGTGGAGTAACTTTTGATCTATGGAACTTATATACTTAATCAAATATCTTAATTTAAAAACTCTGTCTTTGTGAAAATAACTTGAAATCTCAGCTCAAAATTTTTTTTCTTCATCTAGACCTACCATACCTGCAACAGATGCTACTTTTAAATATGAGTTTACTACTTTTAGTAATCATTTTGCTACCTTTATATTTTAGCTTGACTTTTGCTACCTTTTAAGTTCCTTCAWTTAGTTAGTGTTTCACTGTACCTTTAACTTTCAACTATTTATTATAGCTTTAACCCTCCGTTTTCCTTCGTTTGAGCTTGTGTTCTGATATTTTAATTTTAATAACAGTTTCAACCTTTTCAGCAAATTTAATCAGACATTCACCACTCAGAACGCACGTTGTATTTTCACAAAAAAGGTAGTTGTTCTAGTTTACATCTTCTCTTTATTAATTCTGTAATTTGTAACAAAATATACCATAACCAGGAACTCAGGTTAAACTCAGATGTCCTCATCTACATCCCCTTCTTCAGTCCACTTCACAATTTTGCCAACCCACATCCAAAGATTTTCACATGGGACAAACTTCAACTGAACCAACACGTTTGAAATTGTTTTTAAACAGTTAGAAAATTGTTTATTAAAATTTTTGAATTGACAGTAATATATTTGACAAACAAAGACCGTGCAAATTGTGAAATAAAACATTTTTTCCAGACTTTTAGCAAAGTTAAATGCTTGTAACGAGGGGAAAGTGAGAAAAAAAGAACAGCAAATAGCCCAAAACCTGTAAATAATGCTACACTGCTCATGCCATGTCATGCTCATAAAGATTTTTGAAAAATGTGAGTTGTTAAACAAGGTCTACTTATGTGAACTTTTCCCTCTGTCGGTTTTAATAACTCCAACTATCRTTGAGCCTTTTATTTTGGCACAGCATCAACCTGTTTCCTGTATTTGAGCTGCTTTGATCTTGTGTTCACCTGAATGCGGAAGTTTGATTCGGAACTGTTGGAACTGAAACAATCCCATTAGAACTCTGCTATATTACTGAAGGAAGGAAATAAGGAAGAAATAGAACGAGACACATTTCTGTTTTTTCTGCACATAATGTTACTTGTGTTCAGTGAGGTGGAAACTGAAAATGTGCATTTTTCCTCTCAGTTTAGTGTCACTAATGTGTCCTTTAACACACTGGTTCCCAAATTTTTCAGGTTTTGACCCACAAAATAACAGTAGCACAGACCTGTACCCCCAACTATTTTTGGATGATAAACATTTGTATCAGGTCAACAAAAAATAACAATGCTGTATTTATTATTCTACATTTCTACATTTTAAATATACGAACCTCACTCCTTTGTAACAACTAAAGCAACAATGTAATTAATTCAGAAAATCTTGTCAGGACCCCATCTTGATGTTTCAGGACCCCACTTTGGGTCCCGACCCCAACTTTGGGAACCACTGCGTAAAGCAATTTTAGAACCGGTTCTGATCCGAACGCCTCTTTAAATTTAACAGCTCTTCCAAAAAGCTTAAGTGAAAATATTTTTGCATTGAGTCTGTGCTTCAGCTCTCAAGCATGTTAAAGCTTTGATGTAGTTTTATGTATTTGTCAGAGACAGACTTTACCCCTGTCAGCACACTGCTGCACAGTTAAACTGTGCTGAATCCCAGTTTCAAGTTATCATCAACACAGCAAATGGATCACTTGCAGAAGCTGTGTACACTTGGAACAGTTTTTACATCATGTGATCTGAGCCTTTATTTACTGCAGGGATGCTGGTCTTCACTCAGAGTTCCACTAGATGTCAGTGTTGTTCCAACCATCCAGTAGATCCAGATTCACTGTGGTCCTGATGCCTGGACTTCTCTCTTTCAGTTTGATAAATCTTCCCATCCTCCTGAAAAAAGAAAAACAGGTTAGACTCATTATTATCCATCACAGAAGTTAAATTTTATGTACCATTTTACCACAATAACTTTAACAACATGAGTGACAACATAAACCTCACACACTTCRTTTGGCTCAGTACTTCTTTCTTCCCAGTAGGACAGTGGTCCCCAAACAACGGCCCGCGGGCCACATCCGGCCCGCCTCCACATTTGGTCCGGCCCCCAGAACAATACCAGAGAGCATTTAGTTTTTTTTTCATATATGCGTATTTAAATTTGATTATAAAGTTGGACTTTTGCAATAAAATGTTCCTTAGTTATGAACTATTTTCATTATTAACTATTATTATTTGGTAACTATTTCATACATAAACACGTATAATGTGACATTCTGTTCCACCCTTCTGTGGTCTGTGCCCCTATCTGGCAACCCCCAGAAAAAAATCCTAAACCCGCCCCTCTCAAAGAGAGAATGGAATAAAGGCAAAAAGATTAGGTAAGAGAAAATTTGATTCAGAAGGCAGGGCATTTAAGCTGCAGTGGACAAACGATTATTTTTTTGTTCATCTATCAAGAGGTGGTGGCGGTATTCAAAGAATACAATCTGTGGCGACACTATGAATCCCGTCACAAAGACACGTTTGATAGCTTGCAAGGCCAAATGCGAGCAAACAAACTCTCAAAGCTAAAAGGTGGACTGTTAGCTCAGCAGATACTGTGAAGAACCCAGAGAGGGTTATTTGATTGTGCTTTCTGGAAAACAATACATTTTTACATTTAGGCACTCCTGCAATAGTCACACTTTTTCTGTTACAAACTGACTCCGGCCCCCCACCAGAGAAGGGAAAGGTTAAGTGGCCCTTACAGGAAAAAGTTTGAGTACCCCTGCAGTAGGGGATGGTTGTTTACAGTGTAGCTTCTTAGCTTAGCCTTCTTCACGGTTGAGCTGGCGCACTGCATTTGTCACGACCAAACTTTAGCGATTGGGTAAATCAGATCYAATCGTTTTAAACTTCAACAGAATCCACGCCTCCAGCAAGCAATCGCTTATCAATAGCCAAGGTTCCAGACCCTCTGTTTGAAGTAAAAGAGCTGGTTTTTACCAGGCTTGGTTTTCAGTGTTCTACTGTCATAAAATACCGATTTCATGTTTATTTATTAATCCAAATAATTTAGAAATGATTATTGCAGCTCAGCTTTACATGCCTCAAATGGATTATGGTGGGTGTTCAGGTTACGTCCTCTTCAACTTCCTCATCAAATTCTCCCTCTTCCTCGGCGGTGGTGCCCTGGTACTGCTGATACTCTGACACCAGATTGTTCATGTTGCTCTCAGCCTCGATGAACTCCGTCTCATCCATGCCTTCACCAGTGTACCTGTCACAAATACAGAGCTATCAGAACGGACCAGCACCAGAACACAGCTCTGTGTTTTACTCACCAGTGGAGGAACTACATACACAATGCTACTGCATAAACAGAGTTGCTTCTTCATCACATAAAAAAGGTTAACTTTAACATTTTATTCATGTTTTTGACACAGAACRCATTCAATTTACACTACGAGACAGGAATTTTAATTGGGTGAAGGATATCATGTTACTTCTTATTTCAAAAAACCAACATGTAGGTTTTTTTTTACTTCAATCACCTGTAAGACAATGAAAAAAATGTATGGAACACCAATCTTTCATATCTGATTGCATGACAGCCAGTTTCTTTGAGCTTGTTTGTTTTTATTAAACTAAAAGTTGCACATTTATCAGAGTTTTATGCAGTTAAACTAAGTGACACCTTCCAGAATTTTTTTTTTTTTTTTTTTTTTTTTTTTTTTGTGTGTGTGTGTGTGTGTGTGTGTGTGTGTGTGTGTGTGTGTGTGTGTGT